AATCTACTTTTTTGAGATTGTGGATTTGGGGTTCTTGGGGTTTTCATGAGCTGGAAGCCATAATCATCACAATTATGACAAATCACGGCTTGAACTATCTTGCTTTGCATGTAATGAGTCTATCTCATATATTAGTTTCACCTTTTAAGTTGCATTAGTGAAATAAATGAACTTTGCACGATATTCTAATTATTCGAGTTTCACCTGTATATGCAATGGGCACTTTTCGTAGTTAAATAGTACATTTTCATAGATATCTGTATATCAGACCAAAAAGAAGGACAACTGAGGAAGAAAGAGGGATAGAGAAATTTTGTTTCAAAAGAGGGACAGTTGGTGGGTATGGCCATAACTATACTTTTTAATATAATACTCTGGAATCTCCTATGCCTCATCTAGTGGCCATAATGCATAACTGTTTGCTATACGAATAGTTTACAACTACTACTTAGGATGTGTCCAACTCAGGTGACAATGATGTAGAAAAGGGCTGGGTGTCAGAACTTGTTCAAGCTAGGAGAAGACATTTATAGGAGAGGGAAAGGTTGAAGAGGAGGACTCATGGCAAATTATACTCGAAAAGCAAAATTAAATTACCATGTGTAAGATATTTGAGTATGTATTACATTTTAACATGAAACAAGAGGCACACTACCATCCCTACTGAAACTTTGCTTTTATAGACTTTTCTCAAATACAGGCATGGTTATTTATATAATTGTTGTCACAATTCCATAATGTATTACAAATTCTTATTACAAATTATATTTTCATTTTATTTACATGTGACTTAGAGGAGAGCTTTACGAACAGCCCCCGAGAAACTCAGGAACCGTTCCTCTTTTTCTGCAAATGTCATACAAAATACCCCAGGAACCCGCGTGAATCGTTACATTAGCCGTTTGATTGAAGCTCGGCAAACTGATTCGGAGTTGTCAGATTTGAATTTTATTAGTTTGAAATATAAGCAATCTGAGCGTGAGCAGAAAGTAAGTCTACCTTTGTAAAGATTTATTTTCTGTTGTTTTCTACTGTTGACCTTATAATGTGTTCATCATGTACATACATTTTGGTACTGCTATTATATGATAACCCCATTTAACATTTCTTAGTAGAAGAGTAGCAGGTTAAGGATATGTAACAGTTGTATCGGCCACTGTACTTTTACTTAATATTGCACTATTCTATAGTCATTGTCAGGTACCTTATTTGTGGCACATGTATCAAGTAAGGCCTTTGGCCATCCATTATGTGGCAAGCCATCTCGGGCACAGTTGGGCAGTGGGTTCTTGGTTGCGAATAAATCATCTCTGGGGCATCTTCGTGATGTTTCAATTTCTATTTCCTGCTTTCCTATTCACTTCTTGCTCATATCTCCCTTCCACTGGGTGCTGCTAAGTTGGCTGCAATTCCTAAATCTGATACCTGTTCTCTGAGAATTGCCTCCTCTAGTTTCTCTCACGGATTATTTTCCTTTAGTTCCGCGCATGCACCTGCAATTTTTTTATGCTGTCAAGTGTACCTGGGGGGCATAGCTGAGCACTCCTTTGAAGCAGCAAAACAGCCCTAGGCCATCACACTACCACCACCATATTTTACTGTTGGTATGATGTTCTTTTTCTGAAATGCGGTGTTACTCTTATGCCAGATGTAATGGCACACACACCTTCCAAAAAGTTCAACTTTTGTCTCGTCAGTCCACAGAGTATTTTCCCAAAAGTCTTGGGGATCATCAAGATGTTTTCTGGCATAACAGAGATGAGCTTTTATGTTCTTTTTGCTCAGCAGCGGTTTTCGTCTTGGAACTCTGCAATGCAGGCCATTTTTGCCCAGTCTCTTTCTTATGGTGGAGTCATGAACACTGACCTGAACTTAGGCCTGCAGTTCTTTGGATGTTGTTGTGGGGTCTTTTGTGACCTCTTGGATGAGTCGTTGTTGTGCTCTTGGGGTAATTTTGGTTGGCTGCCCACTCCTGGGAAGGTTCACCACTGTTCCATGTTTTTGCCGTTTGTGGATAATGGCTCTCATTGTGGTTCGCTGGAGTCCCAAAGCTTTAGAAATGGCTTTATAACCTTTTCCAGACTGATAGACCAGAGTTAAGTTATGTTTTAACAGGGGGGGGGGGCAAACACTTTTTCACACAGGGCCATGTGGGTTTGGATTTTGTTTTCCTTATTAATAAAAACCTTCCTTTAAAAACTGCATGTGGTGTTTACTTGTGTTATCTTTGACTAACATTTAAATTTGTTTGATGATCTGAAATATTAAAGTGTAACAAACGTGCAAAACAATGAAAAATCAGGAAGGGGGCCAACACTTTATTTCACAACTGTATATATACCTTTAGAGCACAGATAAAGTACTCCAATTACAGCTTAGGCTCTCATAAACTTCCCTCATATGTTTAACTAACAATATTAAGTGTCTCTTGTTTCTTTGTTGTCCTTGTTTCTGAACTAAAGGTGGCCATACACCTTACAACCATTGCACAACTTTTTTTGACTAGACATCTCACCCTCGTTCAATTTTCGTTCAACTAGCCCATCAAGCACAGACCAATGTAGTTCACAATTAGCGTTCGTCAGCACCACAAACTGGCTGATTCTCATTGATTGAAGAACAGGCTTTTGTTTAAGCATGTGCAGTTTACATCTTGAGATTTTTGTTGTACAACAACGCCACTAACCCGTCGATTTTCATCCAACTAGACAAAACATTTCTAGCCTGCTTGAAAGACAAACATCTGCCAGTTGTACAGTAATTGAGGTTGTGCACATCCCAACTGGCAGATTTTCAGACGAAAATGCGATCACGGACAAAAATCTGCAGATAATTGTAAGGTGTATGGGCACCTTTACTTGCCCTGACCTAACTTGGACACTACTCGCCCAGGTCTTTAACTCCTATGTGTATGCTCCCCTTTGGTTATGACATCTGCCTTCAGGTACCGTCATCTAATGATTTCTGGCTATTATGTTAACTATGCTTTTGTTTCTTCTGTTCTGTTTTGCTCCTGCTAGTTTCTCAACTACTCAAACATGAATTTGTTGACTACTTGGTTCCTAATCAGGCTCAGAGTCTCAGGTACTCAGACAACTAAAAAACATATTTTAAAAATCACCAGTTTATGACTACAACTCAAACAAATTGTGACATTCTTTTATCATAATAAAAAAGTAAAGCAGAAAGAACATAAAAAGAAAAAGTAGGATTTTTCAAGGAACCACTATTGCATTCCATATATCTGATTGTCTTTTATATATACAAAAGGGTACAATATGAAAACTATGGTACAATCCCATAAAATGCTGCCTTTACATATGCCCCAATATTTAAAATGGCACAGTGTACCTATCTCCTAATACTTCAAAAAGAGAAAAGTGGCTTGCATAGTTGCCTAATGAATAGTAAATACATAATGGCAATGCTTTGCACAATCAATTGCAATAAGTAATCTGCAGTCCCCTTGAGAATGAAAAATTGCAGAAGCCTATAAATGATAAATGCTATAATACAACGTAGGGTCTTAGAGTGTTATGCAAATAGGTTGTGATGTACTGTAAACCCTTGTGATGTAAATAGGCTGTCCTCTTGACTGCTGGCAATTGAGATATCAAAATCTTGTTACACAGACAGTCGATGTGTGTACATCAGGCTTGCATGCAGTTCCATGCCGGGATGTGTGGGAAGACCTGTAAAGCAGCAGCATCTCTTAGCCTTTCATTCATTTTACAAGCTGACAGTCGCAGCTGCACACAGACACCTGTCACTCCCGGGAACCTCCCAGCCGCATAAACAAATGCCTCATTGACGCTGTTGGATATGCTAACTTCTTTTTCTATTTACAGTTTTCCTTTGGATGTAGTTGCATCTTTTTGGGGAGTACCTTTGTGCTTAAGTCTTTTGTAGTCCTAAAACAGTATGTTTTTTGTTTTTTGATTCCTTGAGTAAAAAGTCACCTGTGCCTGTGATTCTAATTGCTCAAGAAAACATAATGGGTGGAAAAGTAATTGAAATGTATTGTTGCTATTCCAGACTTGCCAGCCTACTTTCCAGACCCCCTTTCACACACAGCCTCTCCACAGGCTTCCTCTATTCTAAATAAAATTATCTCAGCTGCCAGCTTCCTAGTAGAAGGGATTCAGTAATACCTGATTCAGTAAATACACCCTCTTGTCAGCCCCCTTGTAATATCAATAAAGTTAGATTAAAAAAAATAAAAACAATGACAATTAAAAAAAAGTTTAATAAAATAAATTTTTTTTAAAAAACAAAGTTTCACACATCCCTCTTAGACGTTTGTCACCATCAGAAGATTTCTCCTCTATTCATGTTTTTGTGGATTTTCCTATCCCTTTCATTCCTATTGCTTACCAGGGCAAATGCTAAGGGAAACACATACAGCAAATAAAGCCTGTCAAGGGCTCTACCATTCACCGCTCTATCAGACACCAGACTGTTGATGTTTCCATCAAACATAATAGATTATTAAGGTTGCAATACTTACATAATAATAGCCAATATAAGCCTAGTTTAAACATAATCAGAGCACGTGTTGTTCAGATTACATAGAAAACAAGGTAAATGCATTCTGTAACTGTGCAAGTTTTCATTTTCCTCTGAGAAATTCAGATCAGCAGGGATGCTAAACCCCAAAATCATACACATAACCTAATACACATAAGCTAAACCCATGGTCCCTGTGTGTATTGTAAAGTAGCCACCACACCAAGCTTACTCTCGTAATGGACTAATTTCAATACAAATTAGCTAACTAAATGTGAGATCGTAGTCCATAATGGGGATGAGCTTGGAGAGGAACAAAAGTAGCCACCCTCCAGTTGAAAGGACAGTGTCAGCACAAATTCAGAGATGATTTGAGGATCTACAGCTGAGTGAGACACAAATAAGCTGCATTTTTGTTAATCGTTAAGGTATGTGAATGTATTTTTAAGATTAACTCCTGAGTGTAGTGTCAGGTTGCCTAATTTTTACAAGCGTGGTCAGTTTTAGATTCCCTCACAATGCAAAATGTACTTAAAATTTTTACTTTAGGACTATAAATACAACCGGGAACCAGGGGTCACATTCACATTTGTTGCTTTAATCTTAAAAGTTTAGTAGTCCTGTTAAAACCTCAAACAAACATAATTACACATAAACCAGAATGTTTGTTTTTCTAATTTATTTCGGTTGCTTTGTACTTGTATGTTGTAGAACAATTTGTGAGTTTCATAGTTAATAATAGTTGTTTTTTTTCCCACCCTGCTACAGTATCACCAGCTTCATGATGAATATTTCACCAGTGCAGTGGTACTTTCATTAATTTTAGCTGCCTTATTTGGCCTTGTCTACCTTTTAATAATCCCACAGTAAGTAATCACTTTTTAAAATATTACTTTTACACACTTTTGAAAAAAGTACTGGTAATGGTTTGATGTTCTTCAATAGTTTCACAGCCCAAAAAAGCTCAAAGGTATTTATAGACAGAAGAACAGTGTTGCATTCAGTCGGTTTCTCTAGCCCAGTCAGGAGAGTGCTGGCAGTGAAAAAGTATCAGTCTTGCCTGTTTGCAGATACCAGTGTAATATAAGTGGCCTAACTTGGTTATGTTTGGAGGTTAGCTTTTAAACCTTTTCTGGCACAAAGTCCAATATGAATGGATATAAATACCAATTAAAGTTTATGCATCTTTAAAATTATGCTTTATATTTCCATACATCATGTATGAAGGGTATACATATATGTATATACTGTATGGTGTGTGCGTGTGTGTGAAAATTACAAAATATGAATGGGCAGACTTTTTAATCCTGATCATAATGAATAAATAAAATATTTACCAGAATAGTATACAGTTCTTTTAAAGTACCGATATATAAATACAGATACATTTATATGTACCATGTATAAATTACAGATAAATAGATGAGAGATGTAGTCTAGGACCATCAAAACCTGATGAGTCTCATATTTTGCTTTGTATTTACACTTCTGCAATGTAATACAGAGGGGTAGTTTTTAGAACACAAGTTGGATTTTTACTGATATTCAGGACTGCTTTAGAGAGAGTTATCCTTAAGCTGGCCATACACCTATCGATTTTCGGTCAGAAATTTTCGTTTCTGCTAAGAACCCTTGTTCGATTCTAGCTCAAATAGTCCACCAAGCACAAAGCAATGTCAATTTCGATAATCGTTCATTAGCAATACTAACTCACCGAATTTTGTCGATCGGCAGAATGGATTTTTGTTTGCGTATGTGCAGTGCTCTTGCTGCATTTTTTTTGTACAAAAACGTCACTAATCCATCGATTTTTGTTCAATTCTAACACCGCCTGACCAATCGAGGAAATTTGGCCAGGAGTAAAGTAATTAAAATCGTTTGGGTTCCGATCTTTAAGGTGCCCATACACTCTTTGATTTCCATTCTGAAATCAAACACGAACGTGGTTTCGAACGTTAATCGATCAGTTAATGGGAACCCAACGATTTTAGTTACTGTACTCCTGGCCGAACTTCCTTGATCGGTCAGGCTGGAAAGCTTTTTCGAATCAAACAAAAAACGTTGGATTAGTGGTGTTTTGGTACGAAAAAAAATCACAGCAAGAATACTGCACATGCGCAAACAAAAATCAATTTTTCGATCGACAAAATTCGGCGACTTAGTATTGCTAACGAACCATTATCAAGCGCGACATTGGTCTGTGCTTGATGGCCTATTTCAGCTAGAATCGAACATGCAGCAAGAACATTTCTGATCGAAAATCTATAGGTGTATGGCCAGCTTTACTTTCTGTCCTGCTTACGTTTTACCAGAAAGAGAGTAAGGGCCCATTCACACTGGTACAATGCGTTAATTGTGGTATTGCAAAATCAAATGCATTGCTGGAGGGGGGTACATTTGGGGTGCCATTCAAATGAATGACAACGCAACGAACCTCCTGTCATGTTAAAACAAGGTAGGTGCGTTGCACGGTTATGGTGCATTAATCGTACCAGTGCGAGTAAGCCCTAAGTTGAACTCTTCAACAGCAACGCAGACCGAAATAAAAATGCTTTTCTTTACTAGAGTAGGTGAAAGCAAGAACCCCTGTCAGATCTTCATCTCTGTATTTATTCCAGTTGCAGATTTTCCCTCACTATTTGTCTGGAAAAACCATTGTCAGCAGGACAGGAAGTAAGGGGAAATATCTCTAAGGGACCTTAGATAGCAGTGAAAACTAGACAATATTTCTAATCCTTACACACTTTGTCCAAAACTAGAAAACAAAATTTTGCCTTGACATGCACTTTAACCATCTTCTGCAGTTTCTATGTGTTGCTTTTGTCTCTAATTGGATGCATTCAGTGTATGATTGTTTATTTATGTTGCCTTGAAATATGCCTTAGTTGTTTTGTAGAATGTGTTTGGAATTCTTTTGTATTAGATGAACATCATAACAAGGGATAACAAAAAAAAGTTTACCTGAGTTTATAGCTATATTAAATAAAAGCATACCTCCCAACTTGCAGAGATGAGAAAGAGGGACACCTTCCAGCACCAAGTACAGGTGAAACTCGAATAATTAGAATATCGTGCAAAGTTAATTTATTTCACTAATGCAACTTAAAAGGTGAAACTAATATATGAGATAGACTCATTACATGCAAAGCAAGATAATTCAAGCCATGATTTGTCATAATTGTGATGATTATGGCTTACAGCTCATGAAAACCCCAAGAACCCCAAATCCACAACCTCAAAAAAGTAGATTATTACATGCAATCAATAAAACAAGGATTGTACATAGAACAATATCGGACCTCTGAAAAGTACAAGTATGCATATGTACTCAGTATTTGGTTTGGGCCCCTTTTGCAGCACTTACTGCAATTACTTTTGCACGATATTCTAATTATTCGAGTTTCACCTGTATTTATGTAATGAGCACACCCCTGCCCCGCCTCCAGTTATGAGGACCATGAAGAATTTATATGCCAAAAATGATTGGTTAAACACAGAATTTTCACCATAAGACTGATTTTGTTTTACCATTATTTTTCTTTTCTGTTTTAAATGGCAAACAAGATAATTAGGAGATGAGATAAAGGTTTTCGTTCAGAATAACACTTTTGGTAGTTGAATAGTACTTTCCATAGATATCTGTAAATTAGACCAAAAAGGGACAGCTGAGGAGGAAAGAGGGACAGAGTGATGGGACCGTCCTTCTAAATGAGGGAAAGTTGGGATGTAAAAGCAGGAAAGGAAGGTATAAAGAAAAAAGTTGAGTACAGTTGACAAATTATAATTGGTTAACAATGTAAAAAATGCATGTTTTATGTTGCAAGAAGTTAGACTAACGCTACATTCATACCTATGCATTTTACATTTGTTTTACATGTGCTGTAATTATTTTCAATGAAAGGTGTGTTTTGCTGAAAATTGCACCCAAGACACATGACACACGACTTTCTTTAACATAATGGACCTGCACTTAGGCTGGGTTCACACCTAGGCGTATCGAATATGCGCATTTGTCGCGCGTTTCGTGTCGCGCAGGTGTGAACCGGGCCTTAGAGTTGAAAATACTGTATATCCTTAAAGTGATTTTATTAACCATTTTAGGACCAATTATTGCTTTAGGGTCCCATTGCCGTGTGTTAATGCATGTTATGTTGATTTTAATGTGCGTCGTGTTAAGGCAGCAAATTCATTAGTGAATGGTATGTGTTCTGTGGCCCACTGTGCGTTGTGCTTTAATGTACATTGTGTTGAGGTGCCATTCATAATGAATATCGCCACAATGCACCACACATAGAGCAGGCATGTAGCTGTGTGTTGCAATAACGTGTTTTAATGAGCATACCACAATGCACAATTGTGGACATTTTAAACATATAATTTTCTTAAGATAAAAGGTGTTTTATTTGTTTATAGTGGAATTTTTGGTTGAACTTGATGAACATGAGTTAAAAGCAAAAAAAGGGAAGATTTATGTTTGGCCAATTGTACATTCATAATTTTTTTCTTTTTTCAGAAGCACTATTGTCCTTGTCCTCCTGGTGTTCTGCATATGCTTCCTAGTGGCATGTATTATGTATCTACATGTCACACGAGTGCAGGTAAATACATTGTAACTTGATTTTAATTGTGTATTTTGTTTATTAAATTAAACGTATGTAAACAAAATGTAAAATATATTAATGCGGATTGTAAGTAGTATGGCCAGTTCTGAGTTCCTTGCACTTAATGGCCACATACCGTCTTCTCCATAAACTGGAATAATATAAAATACTTTTTTATAGGCCATAAACCTATGCCATATTTGCCCTGGGAATGCTTAATTATGTCTAACCACAGGGTTGTTATGGAGCACAACCTTCTAGTAAGTAATTTTTATATAAAAAGTCACATTCAGTGGGTTGTCTTTTTGCAGTTAGAGTAAAGATGGTCAAAGCAAAATTCCTTATTTATTAACACTTGTTATGTGTCTGTTTAATGCCATAGACCACACATACAAATCTTATCCTTTAAACAATTGCAATGAAATACTGCTTTTCTGGTATTTTCTGATATATCACCCCTTTATTTTTTCAAAATCAAACGATTACATAATTAACAGTAACAGGAGACCTTTAGGAACCTATGACTCTTAAAATGCACCATGGAGCTAGGGCACAACTCTTTAGGCCATGCGAGCAGTTGCTTTCATCATAGTGTACATTATCAGTGATGCCCAACAGGTTGCTGTTACTGAGGGGCAGTTAATCCATGTGAAGATTCCAAAATCCTAAAAAGCAATAAATGATCTTGGGGAGGAAAAAAGGCTAAGCCTGAGAATTTAAAAGTTGTTAGTACCGTTGCCATTACATTTAGCAATGGCATTGGTGACAGAGGCAGTGGCAGGAAACCCACATATGATGATGCCGGTCATAATTATTTCTCCAGCATAGCAATCTTTGAGCTGCACCACCATCAGGGCCTGTGCAAGAATTTTTGCCTACACAGACGAAGGTGCATTTTTTTCTAGGCCGAGTAAGGATACTTTTCCCCAAGTACTTACAAATACCAATTACTGATACTTTTTCTTTAGTGTCATGTGACAGTTTTTTTAAAAAGATACAGACTAATGATTTTAGGACAGTGGTGGAGCGCCAGGACCCGGTCACAGCTGTAAGAGATGCAACCCTGGTAGTTCTGCCACTGAAGAATAATACCATCAGCTTTAGAGGAATGCAAATCCCAGCAATACATTACACAACCATGCAGAATACCATCAGCTATAGAGGACTACAAATACCAGCAATACGTTATACAGCAATGTGCTTCCGCTCTTCTCCAGGGTACCGGCCTGATGTCTCTGGTGGAGTGTCTCAGCAAGGAGAGATGCAGAGGGTCTCAGGAAGGAGAGATGCGGAGCGTCTCAGCAGGGGCAGATGCGGAGGGTCTTAGCGGGGGCAGATGTAGAGGGTCTCAGCAGGGCAGTGGAGTTCCCTCTTTCCCCCACATCCCCTCTACTCCCACATCTCCCTTCTGGCCCCACTGTCCCCCACATACCCCCTGCTCCCACATCTCCCCTGTGCTCCCATGGTCCCCCACATCTGCTCTACTCCCACATCTCCTCTCTGCTCTCACTCTCCCCCATATCCATCCTGTCAGCGTATGAGTATGCTCACCCGCATGGACGTGCAGGGCGGGTGAGGATAGGGGGGCGTACGGCCACGTAGTCCCATAGAGAAGGATGGGGGCTCTGTACTAATCACACGCAGCACTTGGCCTTCCCAGGAGCTGCTCGGTACGGTCCTGCACGCAGGAAGGAGCTGCACGTGCAGGCCGATTCCAGTGTGAATGAGGGCTTTGAGAAATGCTGACATTGTCAAAAATAATCCCAACTTTCAGGCAGTATTGCTGGTTTTGTCTGCTCACAGTCGGATAGTGAAAGGGTAATGAATAATGATCCAATCTGTATTGCTGTACTAGACCACAAATGCATTGCAGTTGCCGTAAATCAATAGTGCACACAATCTCTCCTCATCTTCTTTTTCCCTAAATATGGCAGACCCTGATCAGTGACATGTTACCACAGAGATGCCACGCAGATAAAGCAGACACTAAATGAAACAGGGAGGGTTCGCATGTCATAATTTGCATATGATTTAACATCGTTATTTACATATTGTGAGAATTAGCTCCAAACGGTAGTGCGTTAAGTATACTTCCACTCGCTTAAGTTTTCTTTTTAGGGCTTCTTTGCCCACTTTTATTAATTCAAAAGTCAAAAAAATTCCACACATGTTTTTCCCTACAGGGATTTTCCCAATTTATAGTACACACACTACGGGCAATGCAAACACAGATTAGGCTTCTTGGCTTGTACTGGCCGTTTGGACCCTCTGGTTCTCTTGCTTTGTCTGTTTTCTCAGACTAGTCACACAGGCTGGTCCTCACCACACCGGTGTATTGCCACACAGGCTGTATCACACCCGCTTGCCACACAAGCTGGTTCCAGGGTTGAGCCCTGCACAGAGACCTCCTCTGTCTCCCAGGTGGAACCACTCACTTAGGCTGGGTTCACACCTGAGTGGTGTTTTTATGCTCGTTTTTCAGCTCATTTTTTTCACATTTTTTGTTCAGTGAAACGTGCGTTTCACTGGCGGTATGGTTTTATTTTTGTTTTCCTTTATTTTCTCTCTTTTTAAAAAAAAAAATTTTTTTTTTGTTTTCAATTTTAAACTTCCCGCCGGCTCCGCCCCCCTGGGACGCGGCCGCTCGCAAGGGACGGAACCCGGGACGGAACCCGGGATAAATACAAATATTGTAAGGAAAAGAAATAATAAAAAAGTGAAAAAAAGACGCGACCACATGTGACACACTTCCACCGCATAATGAAGCATCTGACAGATGCCGGCAAAATAAGAAACAAATGGGCGGAGCTAGCGGTGACAGTTAGCTCCGCCCAACTGTTTCCTATTGGCCGGCACCTACCAGAGTCCAAGACAATGAATAACAACTGGGTGGAGCCGGGCATGACATCACGGCCGGCTACGCCCAGTTGTTATTATTTAATGACAGATCAGCGTCCCAAGGTCATTTTGGGACGCTGATCTGTCATTACAACTGGGGAGAGACAGCCGTGATACCATGGCTGTCTCCGCCCAGCTGTCATTTGTATGGAGATGGGTCGGCCGACCTTTTCCCATGCTTCTGCATATGCCCTCGGCTTGGCTGAGCCACTCGGCTGCTGTACGGGCTATTGTGAATAAACCGTACAGCAGCTCTTCGGTTCAATTGAACCAAAGGGGTCCGGCAGCCGAAGTGAGCCGAAGGATCAGCAGAAGCTACAGCTGGATCCTCCGGCACCATATTGAATAACCCCCTATGTTTCAAGTTAACTGAGGGATTCATTGCATAGATCTGTTGTAATTTTTGATTGCTTGCATTGATTGCATTGCGTTGATGTTTGTAATACAGGTATTCCTCACTTAATGACCGAGTTCCGTTCCTACGACCAGGTCGTTAAACGAATTGGTCGTTAAGTGAGGAACTCTATACAGTACTGTACTGCATCAGTACAATACTGTATAGTGTTGCAAATGTACAGTACTGAACAATGTACTGTACATCAGGCAATAAAGTACTTACCGGGACCAGCAGTGAAGAACGGAGCACATCGCTTCCGCCGGCGATACATTGCACTGACGCTGACACATTCCCGCATGTAAGGTCGGAGGTCAGTCGTAAGTGCGAGTGGTTGCAAAACAGGTAAGTCGGTAAGCGAGGAACATCTGTATTTGCATGTAAACATTAAAACCAAACACCAGCTAAATATTTTTATTTGGTTAGAGAGGGGAAAGGTTAGAGCAGCCTTTGTCAATCAGGGCTCAATGGAATCCTGGAGTCCCCCCTCAGATTGCTAGGTATTTCTTGGGCAGTAATCACTGGCAAATTGATCTCCCACCTATGCTGAACACCTATGAAAAGGGCTACATCTCCAGTAACACTAATGTTAGGGGCACCACAATTTTTACTAAACAAAGTAAGTTTCTTGTATGTTTTTATTATTCATTTAAAAACTATACCGAAAATAGAAAAAAAATGTATCTACAGAAGGTGGGCATATCTGCCATTGATGTTAAATACTCTTGATACATCGCATTTGTTATTCTTTTATTTAAAATTTCTACAGCTTACTAATCATGTTGGTAGGTTAATTGGCTCCTGTCTAAATTGGCCCTGTATGCATGTGAGATAGGGATCGTCTGAGGTTAAAAGGCTAAGAAAGACTGGGTTTGAGCCTTTGTAAGGGCAGGAAGTAATAGGGAATTTTTCCACTGTGGACATGGACAAAACACATTTTAGTACAGTGTGAAGGGGTTAGAACTTCTGATTATGCTTTATTGCTGTCTGAGTATCACAGGGACAGGAAGTGAGGGCAAATCCCCTCTTCCCCAAGTGCCCAAGTGGGGCCACAGACAGACAGAGAAAAAAAGTCACATAAATTTTACCTGTTCCCTAGACCCTACTATGCAAAAAATATACCTTAAAATAGCAGGCTCCAGCAATAATATACATCCAGTAGAGGTTCTAGTCCTTCTTCACTAAAACATAAAACATTCTAAAACGGAAAAGTTTTGTCTGGAGGTATCCTTTATCATGGCTTCAGTTCAGATAAGTAAAAATGCAAAAATATTTGCAATTCAGTTGTTAAAGCAATGTTGTTGGTGGGGAAATTTTACCTAAAGAGGCCCTGTCAACAGACCTCTCTTTTCACATGTTCCCCATTTTTGTGCCATGTTGTGACTCATGTAATCATTTCCTGGAAGTGTAATTTCTTGTCTGTGCTGACCTGTTATCCTGCCATGCCCCTTGCTGCTATGTAGGCAGACAGCAGGACTCTGCACAGCTATTATTAGCAAACATTATTATTTCAAGCAAATTCAGTGATTTGGTATCTGTGCACCCATAAAGTAATTACACAACAATGCCAGTTGGAGTCATTAGTGTGCAAAAAATATAAACAAAGCAGGAGCTAAATGTAAAATGTGCAGAGCAGAGGAGATGTAATTTCTGACATTATTCAATGATCTGCTGTAGGTAAGCTCCTACTACCAGACTCTCTGTCCTGTCATCAGACAAATGAGAGGCTGTTCAGTTAGCCTCCAACATAAATGAATGATAGCATGGGAATATAATAGAGTGTCATGTGAGTGACAATCACTCTCTTGTACAGACACGGGGAAAATTAAAGAGCGTTTAGTGACTTTAGTGTAGGCAGTTGTGCAGATAAGCCAGATCTCCACAATAGGTGGATAAGGGGCAGATGATGTTCGCTAGAATGTGTAATGTATCATTTTGGCCCTTCCCTGTTTTCAGTCATAACTTCCCTTTTTGCTTATTTTTCAGTGTTTTCCAGGGTGCCTAACAATACAGATACGAACCATTTTATGTATTTTTATAGTAGTATTAATTTATTCTGTGGCACAAGGATATGTGGTGAGTAAGACATGATTCTTAAATGTTTAAAAATATAAATCTTCAAAAACATTTTTATGATACAGTTTTACATCTATGTAACATCAAGTTGTTTTTTCCAAATTCCACTCAATATATATATATATATA